TTCTTGCACAACCCTCTTAACACCCACTATTTCAGAAGGTTGTAATGGAGCATTGAAACATTTAACCTGTTCACAATAAGCAGTGAAAATTTTCATGAATCTCAAGAACAAATTACCATGAATTTAGCTTAGGAGATTCGAAAATATAGCTATAAGATCATATAAAATCACACAGAACACTAGGACTTTGGAACAAAAGTTAAGAATAGGACCAGAATATTGCGAACTAGAAAAAAGAGAACCTGGAAATCATTCAACTCTGCATCACTGAGGGCACCATCCCTATCATGATCACAAAGAATGAATATCCGCTTCAAGGCTCGCACACATTGGTCCTTTAAAGTCTGTGTTTCCTGATCAAATAATGGGCCCGTTGGATGCAGCACAGCTTTTTGTGCATAGTAAAAAACTTCCGGAATCTGCAAACAGAAAGATATTTCGTATAGAGTCCAAGAATTGATGTACATGTCAAAATAACAACACTGTTTGAAACAATAAGCCATCAATGAGTCATTGGTTTTGGTCAACAAAGTCATCCATTTAATTAAGGACATAATAAAGATGAAAATGGGTTCTCGTAGCCATTTTAACTGACATTTTAGGAAATGTTGCACACAAGTAATTCATAGAAATGCGTGGAATACAATAAACAGGTCCCAAATCATTATGATCTGCTCAAATACACATATGAAAGTATGAATGAAGAAATGCAATACATCGTATGGTGCATGTTAAATTCACAAAAAGTTGATAACTAATTGTTGGAAGCAAATTTGATCCCACATTAACCAACAAAAGGAAACTTGAAAAAGATAGGAGTCATTACTGCATACCTGAATATGTTTATATGCTGAACATTCAATGCAAGTTTCAATCTCCCGAAACTGTTGCATTATTGGTGACATCACTTGTTCGAGGCTCACCTGTTGGTTCTCATCTCTCAAATCCAGCTTACAACCCACCACTATAACAGGTACCTTTACCTGTTCATTAAATTTCACATTTTCCCATCATAAGTTCATAATACAAGACAGGTGTTGCTCCATTAACCTCCATATCAAACTACTTTTCAAACAGATCAGTGAAGTAATAAAATTATCAGGCTTCATTTTCATAAGTTCACAATGAATAATATACTGTCCAGATTAAGGTTTCTTTTCATCAGGTTTTTTTTTTTTTTTCTTCTTGTTTTTGACCATAAAAGGCAGGTGTTAAAACTTTTGGAGAAGAAGAACCCGCATAGTGAGGAAAGAAAGGCAAACACACACCTCTAGTTGACGAAGTTTTGGAAGCCAAAAGGTACTCAACCGATCAAGTGTCTGGGGCTGATTACACGCATAAGTAAGCACAACTGCATCAGCCCGCTTCAATTCTTCAGCAACTTTATTGGTATCCTCGGGTCTGATTGAGTAAACATAATAAAACAATTCAGTATCATACTAAAGATATCGGCTGGAGGAAGACTGACCAACATGACATGATCACTTATATGGTTGGGCCGGAAAATAATATAAAACTTATGACCTAATTCTCTTCCCTTCCAACCCATTCTATGCAGAAAACGGACCTTTCAAAGACACATACAATGCAAAATTTACAATTCAAAATCAGCAACTAAAATGATCATTTCCTTATGTCAACTAAGAGATTCATACCGAGAAGATGTGTCGATAATGGTGATGGGCACGCGTTCAGGATAGAAATCTTCAGGCAGCCTTGTTGGAGGCAGCACCGGAGGCACATTTGCCGGAAAGTTCTCAGTGGCAGCAGTCACAATCAAGCTGGATTTCCCCGTGCCGCGGTCTCCAGCCACAACAATTCGGACTGCATTTTGGCCAACAGGGTGGTCATTTCCTGCTGCAACTTTGGTCATTGAAACTGCAGAACAAAACCCAAAACCCTAATCGCTCAATAATAACTATCAACACATAAAAACATAAAAATGCGTTTCGTACGTAAGCTTTGCGACAAATGCAGTGGCAAAACCAGAAAACACTCAAACGATTAGGGGCAAACACGAATCAAAATTTTTTTTTCTTTCAATCAGGCACAGATTCCATCAAGCTTTTAGCTAAGCTAGCGACTGATGCAATGGCAAACCCATAAATAACTTCACTTTTCAGGCGCAGAGATTTCAAGCAATCAAGAAATAGATTCAAAGAGCGTTGGCGTAGTGAAGGAGCGGAAGTGCACAGAGAAGGGTAGTGATGGAAGGGATGGCACGAATAGTAAATTACCTGAATAACGGGGGGAAAGATGGAGGCTGTGAGGAACTCTATCTTCGCCGGAGAAGATTCGAAAAAACCTACCAGAAACCCTAGCTGGCCCGGCGGCGACGGCGGCAGCTGTTGCTGTGGCTGCTGGGTGAGAGATAGCTGAAGTGTGAGGAAGTTTCCAAGGAAGAAATGCGTTTTCGACTTCGTAATTTTGTTAACCAATTTTCTTTTTCTTTTTTTTTTTTTAAATTTTTTTAAGGCAGATACACATACGCCCCGGTGGCTTATTATGGAAGCTGAGTTGTATGTTGAGTGTGTCGTTTTTGCCACGTCAAACCTAGAAGTTTCCATAGGGCGGTACTCGTGTCGTTTCATCGAGTCATATCTACTACCTATTATTATATATAAAGCCATGAAGTTAGCATCCTCTTGACCATTAGATTTGGTTTTAATAAAATTTTGTGGTTGAGATTCTGCGACCTGTGATTTAATATCAGCCACAGAATTTCATTAAAGTCAAATTTAATGGTCAAGAGGGTGTTCCTATTTTTTTTGAAAAATGGGGATCCCTTCCCTTAAAGAGCATGTATAAAGCCAATGGAAAAGTGAATAGTGTTTTTGGTGTCATCAAACTTCAACAAAAATATTTAGACGAAAATGTCCCTAAGATAAAAAACTTCAAAGACATTCCAAAATAATGCATCAAATAAGGTAGGAGCATTTTCATCATTTTAAAAGTATTTTTTTAATAATTAATTTTTTTGTGTTTCAATTTCTCTATTTTTTAACATGTTCAAAACATCTTAAAAAGCGTGTAATGCCAGTTATAAAAAAAAGTATTTCGCATGCGGATAATAATATGATTAAATTAGTTATCAAATAATTGTTTTTTTTATCTACACTAAGGGAAAGGGGGTGGGCTTAGCCGTACAATGGGTTGTCAATAATGTGATTCAATCAGTTATTTATTAAATATTATTTTCTCTATTTTTAAATACGTTCAAAACATCTGAAGAGGCATGTAATGCCGGTTATAAAAAAAGTCTTTCACACGCGAATAATAATGTGATTAAATTAGTTGCCAAATGATTTTTTTTTTTTTTTAACAAACAATATTATTTACATTACTGAAGAGGGGATGGGCTTAGCCTCACAATGGGTTAACAATAATGGGATTCAATCAATTGCTTATTAAATATTATTTTTTCTATTCTTAATGTAAATTCTATAGAGACCGATTTTATTAAATGAATTTAGCTGTTTTAATTAGTTTATGAGGGGTTTCTTATAGCATGATCTAAGATTATTCATTTACTTCAAATTTTTCACTAAATACATTTAAAACGTGTAAATCGCGCGTAACACGCCGTGATTCAGAAAATATCTTCTGCACGCACATAAGCCCGTGCATGAAGGCTAGTGTGGATATCACAAGGATACATTTTTCTAGGAACATAGCTAGATACATAAATTGTAATAATGTAATTAGTTAAAAAAAAATTCAAGTTTTAATCAAATTGTATTATTACACTTGGTAAATTGAGCCATGTTCTTCTCGGCACAAAAATAAATTTTTCAATAAGCCGAAATGCGCAGTATACCATGTATTATAATACAAGTGAAGACAATTTTTTCTAAGCGTCTTTCCTCTTAAATAATGACATATGGCATATGTGTGTACTCTGGGCACACTAAAAATCTCTCTTTCTAAACAAAGCATTCATTATATCAAAATAGTTTCATACGTTGACGTGACTATTGTTTAACGTACTTTAATTAAATCTTAAAAAGGAATCAATGTTTCATCTAAAAAGTATTGAAAAGATGGAGGGATTTTAATTTTCTCTTTAGTTGGTAGTGGAATACACGTATCAAGTGATGAGTGAAGAAATAAGCTAGAAGGTTATTAACATTCTCCATTATATATTTCATACTTGAGCTTTGAAGTATTAATTTCCAATGAAAAATTTGAAAAAATAATCAAAATTTTTAATACTATATAGAATTATAACCACCTTTTTAAATTTATGATAATATTAAACAAAAGTTGATATAGAAGTACTAATATACATTTAAAATTATAGGTTCAAAGTGGAGAGATCAAAAATTGATACAAGGTCGCCACTTGTAATTGTCATCCACACATCTAACTTTCAAACGATTCTTTAGTCTATTTAGCCATTTTGAACTCATAATTCTTCCTCATTTCAACCATAACTAATAATTACAAGTCGCGACTTCATGTATTAGTACTTTTAAGCATATATTAGTACTTTCATATCAGCTTTTTATTATAATTATCATAAATTAAAAAAGATGTCTATAATTCTAAATGAAATTCGAATTTTCGTTATTTTTTTAAATTGTGATTTTGAACACAATTCTTCATAATAAAATAATTCAAATTTCCAATTAGAAAATTAACAAATGGGCACCCTTTGGCATTAACAAAATCCGTATCGGAAGAAGGACTTACATAACACAAAACATTACGGAATGTTTATTCATGTCTTGTAAGTTGTTCTCTCACGTTCAACATTTAAAGGGCTGTTATGGAAAGCTCAAAAAGTTGTTGAGAAATGAGGTAGCCGTGTAATTAGCATGGGAAAATACGCCCGTTGGCGGACCACGACCAATAAAAACACAGACACGCTGAAAACAGCCCACGTTTTTTGAAATCTTAACAAAACGACGTCTCATCGGTCCACATCCTCCTCTGCTTCCGTCACGTCTCTTCCCAAGCCGCACCGAAACTTTCCATATGCAACGCCTATATATATATATATACATATTTTTATATCTAACGTCTCGGTTCCAATGATCTACCAAAAAGTAGAATAAAATAAAGATTCAAAGAAGATGGGGCTTGATCTTGATCTGGAATCAATATCCGAGGCGACGTCAGGAGCCGTTGGATCACTCGTGAGCACCACTCTGCTGTACCCGCTCGACACCTGCAAAACCAGGTACCAAGCCGAAGTTCGAGGCAATGGTCGGGCCAAATACAGGTAACCATTTTTTGATCCGGGTCTCTGTAATTCTTTGGATTATCGTTCTCTGATTGGTTTTCCAGCTTAATTGTGTATGTTCTGTATTTTTGGGAGAATTTGTGAGTAAATTTTAATTGTGTCGGTAGTGTCTAGTACTAATATGTTGTTAATGTTGGAGAGCATGCTGGGTAATTAGTAAGTAATCTTTTAGATTAGCATGTAATTAAGATGGATTTTGGGAGTTTTATGGAATATACAAAACTGGGTTGTCAGTCGTATCGGATTTCATCTCAAGGTGGTAACTTGCTAAATTTAAAGGAAGTTTTAACAAAACACTTTTAGTATTGTTTACTTTTAACGAAAAATCACATTTTTAACTTCTTTTTTTTTATACCATTCACTGTACCTTTATTTATTATTTTCCATTAAAACTAAAGTTTTTTTAAATTTTTCGTTAGTTTTTCTAATTTTTTAATTGCAATTCAACCATCGTTTTTGGGTTTTTAATTTTCGACTGGTGTCAATATTATCAAAGTTTTTAGCATAAAATGAAAACTTTATACTGGCAAGTTTTGAAATTTGAAAAAGTTAAATGATTTTGGTGTATGGCAACAGTTGAACAAATGTTCGTCATGGAGAGAAACTTACCTATAAGCGGGATGCTACGATGGCGTAGTATCTTAAATCAATGACGCACTGCCATGTGGAAAAGTTATAAAAACATGGCGGTGTTAGTTGGGATACCGCCATAGTGAAAATCTGAGTTGAAGGTAAGTTCTTATCGGCAGGGATCCAAGATTCTGTAGGCAGTGACAGAATGTTGCAACCCAAGTGTCAGACTTTCAGACTCGAAATTTATCCGGTCATATGTGCATATATGAAGCTTTTCTTTTCTTTATAGTTCACCGAGCGTCTATCTGGTTCATTTAATAATATGTTCTCTGCTGCTAGCAGACAATAGCTTCTGTGGTAATACATTTTGTTTGAGTCGGCAATCAGATAATTATATGGTATATAATTCGCTAAATTTCTTTGGTTCTGGCTTGTATAGGAACCTTTCGGATGTGTTTTGGGAAGCAATATCCACACGCCAGGTTCTTTCGCTGTATCAGGGTCTCGAAACAAAAAACCTGCAATCCTTCATTGCTCAATTTGTTTATTTCTATGGGTATAGCTACTTCAAAAGACTATATGTGGAAACAAGTGGTGTTAAATCAATAGGGACGAGAGCAAACTTAGTCCTTGCAGCTGCTGCTGGAGCTTGCACTGCTATTTTAACTCAGGTGAACCTTTTGTGTACAGTTCATCGCACTTTTGGTTCTGTTCTGACGGTGAAATGGCGTATAGGAAGATTATGAATTTATTCATATTGGTTTAGTGACTGGAATTTAATGACTGTCTGTTCTACGTTTGTGTAGCCTTTGGATACAGCCTCATCAAGGATGCAGACAAGTGCCTTTGGAAAATCCAAAGGATTGTGGAAGACCCTTACAGAGGGCAGCTGGATTGATGCATTTGATGGTCTCGGAATCTCCCTGTTGCTGACCGCAAACCCTGCAATTCAGGTAGTTACTGATTTTGTTGCCATAAGTCTCTAGAATTTAAGTTTTACCTTCAACTCGAAATATTTAAGATGGTAACTGAGGCTGAAACTGAAATTGTTATTTACTTCAGTATACAGTGTTCGATCAGCTAAAACTCAGACTCTTGAAAGGGAAAGATAAATCGGGCAAGGGTTCATCGCCAGAAGCCCTTTCTGCCTTCACAGCATTTGTTGTAGGTGCAGTCTCGAAGACTGTTGCCACCGTTCTGACCTATCCTGCCATCAGGTACATTTGCTCTCACAAATTCCATCTTATTTACAAGGTTGAGAAATATTTACTCACTACAGGTGTAAGGTCATGATCCAAGCTGCTGATGAAGATGATGGAAAAACCAAAAACCCCCGGCCAAAGTCCAGCAAAACGATTCCAGCAGTCCTATGCGCTATATGGAAAAGGGAAGGGATTCTCGGCTTCTTCAAGGGATTGCATGCTCAGATCTTGAAGACCGTCCTGAGCTCGGCATTGCTTCTGATGATCAAGGAAAAGATCTCCGCTGCTACTTGGGTTCTTCTACTTTCAATCAGAAGGTCTCTATTGCTCACAAGGGGCAGACTAAAAAGTGCTTGATTGCAATTGTGTCGACGAGAATTTGCAGAATTCACATGTAAATTATGTAAGAGTTTTATCTGCTTACCTGAAACAGATGTACCCTTTGAATTCGGGGTACTAAGGCCATCTCCAACCGATCCGACCAGAGGAGCTTGTACTCTTGCAATAAAGCAGTTTTCTTTGTTAGAGGAGAAGGATGGTTCAGGCCTTGCTTCAAAGATGGTGGCCTTGTCAATCTGTTGGAGCTTGGTATTTAGGATGAAACTTTCATTCAGAGAAATAATGTAGCGCAGAAAATTTGGTCTGCAAAAATATTGATTTAAAAATTTTAATTGTATAAGATTTATTACCCTGGTAAATGTGATTTACTGATAGTAATATTATTTGTGAATTCTGTGCAACTCATGTTAGAGCTAATCAGTTACCTAATTATTTTGTTAAAAAAAACAAGTGAAAATGATATCAAAATCAAAGCCAGAAGAAAAGGAAAATCAGAAATATCTAATTTTTTAATTCTTATACAGGCGATATTGGGGGGTTGAGAATCAAACTCACGAACAAAAAAAATGCAAATAAATAAAAATATCTTAAAATCGAATCAATTAAGCAAAAAAAAATTTGAAAAATGCGAGAATAAAAATGTAGACAATAAGTCTATAAGATAATTATATTTATGTAGGTAGGATGAAACTTAAGTTGTTAAGAGTATTTTATTCATGTACGATATCTTGTGCACCAAAGAGCGAATATATATGCAAATTGGAAGCGAGTTTAGTTGGCTAAGGTATTGTACCTTCCTTTTGCTCCCAATTTGAATCGTTATTTTATAGTTCAGATTAGAATATTTGCTTGAATCACAAGAAAAAAAAAAAAAGTTTTGCAATGACCTTGTAATTGATTAGCTCAACTTGTTAAAGCCGTTTAACAAACATACACTTGAAGTCCTGTGTTCGAATCTATTAAGTCCAATTGAGCTTTAGACCCAACCAAAGCAAGAGAATGCCAAAGCTAAATCCAAATTTTTGTTTTTATTTCTTTTCTTTTTTGGTCCAAGTTTTTTTTTTCTTTTCAAATCGCACCTTCTCACCAACTTCATATTTGTCTCATGTGAGAAAAATATTATGAATTATTTTTTGCTATGCCCCTTTTAACTTTATTTCAATCTCAATTTATCCCTCAACATTTTTTTTTAGTACATTAATATTTTATACGAGGAAATGAAAATTCGATTATACCACATAATAGATAGCTTAATTTGATATTGAATACATCATTCATGAGATTCGAACTAAAAACCATCGATTCTAAACAAAGAGTAATACAAACAGATCGTAGTCCTGACTAGCACCTCAACTTAATTTCAAGAGCAAAAAAATAATAAGGACGACGCGCCACTCCAAGTCGCCAACACCAGCGAGACATCTGAGCGAGAGAGCACGGACACAAGGAAGAGGAAGAAGAAGAAACGGAGAGAGGGCAAGATGATGTCCGGAAATTATACCAGCATTGACAACCAGAACGTCTCGGGATCTGTTCCTGCTGTAAGTCGCATATACAATTTCACAAATACGTATATTTATACATATATATATATATGTGTGTGTGTATTGATATTTATGATGAAATGATGTTGGATAATTTTGCAGGCGGTTCCAGATCCAGGCCACCTCACCGTCAAATTCCAAGGTACAATTGGTGTTTCTAATCTGGAAATTAGTGATTAGTTTTGTGGGATTTCAATTGGCGCGAATTTGGAAGGAAAATAATGCTAAACCTGATTAGATTTAGGATTAATCAGCTACGAATCGATGCATCTATGTGTTTTATTATTTTGTTTAGCTGTTGGGAATTGATGCAGGAAACGAATAGGGAAATCGAATTCTAATTTTCTTGCATTTTCTCAGCAATCAAACGTCTTTTGTTTAGGTTAAATTTTCAGTTGAAAGTTTAAAATTTTATTGCCAAAGCGCTTTATCGATTAGTGTATCGAAAGAATAAACCTCTGATCGGCTGAGTTTAATGTCAAACTAACTTCCAGCTTAATTGCTAGGTTTTGAGTTTCTGGGTGTAAAGTTCTCTAATTTTTTTTTTTTTTTTAATTGTAATAACAGTGTGATTTAAACTGATGCAGATTCAAGCCTTCAGACATTTCCTCCATCTGGGACACAAGGGAAGATCGCTGGTGTTGCCCTCCCTCCTCGTGATGCCGATGGTACATTTTAATTTTATATATGGAATTTGGCGAACCATGCTCTGTCTTGATATGTGACTTTCCAATGCTGTTTCTGCTATCTAGTCCAATGAAAACAATCTTTGGATCCAATACCTAAAGGCTTTTAAAAACTAAGTTTAAAGTCTTTGAGACAATGGTTTGAAGATGTAGGATGGTAAGACTTCGTGCTTTTCCATTGTTGTTCTATGAGTATGAATTTAAGTATAGGCCACTGATTTCGTGGATATGAATCACAGAAGCAAGGTTTGGGAGATTGACTAGTTGAATTTGATGAGATCAAAGTGTTCATGACATTTTTGTGACTGAACTGGGTTGTATCGGCCATAGGGAAAACTAGTAGTATTATTTAGATGTACCCTTCAAATTCAACAAGATTTCAGAATGAATGTGGTTGAAGTTGTGATTTAGTTCTTTAAACTGCATCCGTGGACATATGAACTCAACAGAGTGGATGCTTATGGTAATTTGACGAGAATGACTGAAATCTGTTTCGTGTGCCTCATGTCATTTTGTGTATCTGGTATTACTTCACCCAAGAGGTGTTAAACTTACAATAAGACTTTTTTTTTATTCTTAACGAGTGTTAAAACTACTGGCCATAACCCTTTCCATAAATGTTCCACAATATTGTTTTACTACTTTACATTCTGTTTTCCATGGATGCCAATTTTTTGTTGTGTCATGTTATGGTCTGATATCCATGTTTTCTCTCTTGATACAGACACATTTTCTAAACCTGTATCTGGTCCTGATGAACCCCAGCAAGGTGGTTGGCTACGGGTATTCTCTGTAGCTTCTTACAAGCAATACTTTGATGTTGACACTTCAGATGTCCTAGAGAGGATTAAGGATTCACTTCTTCCATTCAGTGGAACCTTCAATGAGAAAACATCTAACAGCCCAGATTTGTAAGTTTTCTTTTGGTAACTTAACTGATTATCTGTCTCTAAAGTAGCGTTTTTGAGTAGTTTCAAATTGTATTGTACTTTTTGAACATCCTCTGAGATGCTGCCAGCAACAAACGTCTTTTTGACAATTGATAATTCTGGATAAAGATTTTGAGATTAGAAGAAAATCTTTAAAATTGAGAAACTATTTGAAAAGGTTGTCTTCGCTGTTCAATAGTTTGGAACTACATTGTAGAAGTTGCACTAAAAGTCTCCTCTGTATCTTGATGGTTTATATTTGCAACCGTTTATTTGGCTATAAAATCTTTATGGTGAGGCACCTGTCATCCAATCTTAACTTCAAATGCTGTGCAGGTATGGACCTTTCTGGATATGCACTACCCTAATATTTGTAGCCGCTGCAATTGGCACTTTTGTGACGTATGTAGCACACAAGGTCAAGAGTAAAGATTGGGAATATGACATTAATGTGGTGCAATGGTCAGCGGGATTGTTCTATGGTTATGTCACTATTGTCCCTCTTGTACTGTATGTAATTCTCAAGTACTTCTCGGCACCATCAGGTCTCGTTCAGCTATTTTGTCTCTATGGTTACTCTCTGTTTGTCTTCATTCCAGCATTGGTAAGTCTCTGGTTTTCCGGTGTAGTTTAATATTAAATTTATTACCGCAATGATGTTTCTTTAAAAGTTTAGGTGTACAAGATCTAAATAGAATCCTCTCCCAAAAGCTTATGCGAATCATTTTAAGCTATATACTAGTGTATGCATATTCAAGGTGGAAAGAAGACTTTTGCCAAAAATTTCGCGTAACTGAAATTTTTGTCAAACGGTATTTCACCAATTTCATAAAAATCCCGGAGAAGCTTTTCTAAACATCGTCAATTCTAATAGTTTTAGACACAAATGTCTTGGTTAAGAGTCGGTTATAAAATCTTAATTTGCCCTTTGTTTTAATATGTTCGGGATGGATACCCATTGTTGAATTCTGTTGTGAGCTTCTGTTTGTCAAAATACAGGAGTCTCGGTAATACTTAGCTGACATTCCCTCCTCTGTTTGGTTGCAGTGCCTCTCAATTGTGCCTCTGGAAATCTTCAGATGGGTAATTGCAGGCATAGCTGGGGTTATGTCTGCCACCTTTGTCGCAGTTAATCTTCGCGCCCACATCGTATCAGCAGGTGAAAGGTGGTTCTTGATTGTAGCCGCGATCTTTCTGTTGCAGTTGGCTCTGTCCCTCGTCCTAAAACTCTACTTGTTTACCGTCACGGTCTAGGATTAAAACTGTGCTTTCACAAAGAGGCATCAAAGAGTTGTAGATTACAGAGTCAGATATTTTTGGTCCGGTTACTTGTTACTGTTAGCTGAACTATCATTCATCAATTAAAGAAACATCTTGTATCCATTCTTTTCGGCAATACGAATTCGTATGTATCAGAGTATGCGCTCAGTATTCGATATTCGATATTTCTAATTTGGTTGCAGGTGTCATAGATAAAAATAAGCCTTTGCTTAATCCATTTTTCAGTCCACTTTTCTCTATTAAAACTGAACTTTGTGTTCAAATTCGTTGATGAACAATTTGGGTGGGTTCGGTTGAGAGGTATGATTAACGGTATGAAGAATTAGGGGTGTTCAAATTTCAATAAAGCCATACCTATTTGGTCCAGTTCAATCCAATCCAATGCAATCCGATTTTGGTTGGTTCAACCATTTGGCGGATCGGATTGGATCCTTAATTTTAAAAGAAAAACTAATGAAAAGGGTTTAAAAACTTTGAGTTTTAACGATAAGGGCAAAATAAAGAGTAAAATGAATAGTACCAGGTTTGACTTTTTAGTGTAAAAATGTGGTTTTTCGTTGAAGTAAACAGTACCAAGAGTTTTTTGTTAGAACTCCCAATTTAAAACTGTCAAGATTGGATAGGATGGTGGATTTGGTTGTGAGAATTAATCGAATCCAATCAATCAAGATGGGTTCTTGATTTTTTTTTTTTTTTTCTTTTTCTTTTCCTTTCATGAGCATTTGAGGTTGAAAAAATTATGAACAATTTAAGTTGATGGACTATGTTTAATATCTTATGGAGCATTTAATTTTATTTCACCATTTATTATTCTATTATTTTTTTTTTTTCACATTTACATGCACCGAAAATGTGTGATTGGAGATTTAACGGCAATTATAAGGGAATTATTTCATATTTTCGTTATTTTAATTCCATTATTCAACTAATCATCCCGTTGATTAAATTGGA